CACCGGGATTACAGAGACATTTACAAGGTAAGTAGATAAGATTCTTTCGTGAAATGTCCTCGAAAAAAGTGGTGTACATTTTGCACAATTCCCAATGTCAATGTTGATAAACAAATCCCTACATCCAAGGCATGCATCATTTAACGAAACAAATTTGCCGGTGTTTATTTAATTGCTATTAAAGGATATATCGCCTGCTAAAATTTTTGATAGTTTGTTATTTTCAAATTATAATTTGCATAATCATACAGAAAAATTCAAACAATATAAAAATTAAAAAGAAACCTTGTTGCTTTTTACGCGCAACATTTTTGTACTCTAGGCCAATGTTGACAAACATCATTTAAAAGCAATCAATGTTGTAATATGTATCATTTAAGATATAACGAAGTTGGTAATGCAGTTTTTCAAGACATGTTTTCCCGCCAATTCTTTCCAATTATTTATTTTATATACCACTAATGTTATTAGTTGCTCCGTTTTATGATTTGTGTGGATTTAAATTATCGATTTTTTTTTCGGTAATAATTTACCTAAGTTATTAATATATTTTGGCATGTATTTTAGCTGTTGTATTTCAATTAGCGAAACTATTTTAGTTCTTAATCCTATTGGCGCACAATTCATTTTGATTTATTTTCGAGGAATAATCACTGTATAGTAATGTTAGCATTTAATTTTACGGCGTAATTAGCTAAAACTTTACGCCGGTTATTTCGAAAATGAACGTTAAGTTAGTTGTATATTATTGTTGATATTCTTACGAATGTTAGAAAATGGAAAACTTCTGTAAAACATTCCTTGACTTTTTAACATGCTAGAAATTGACAAAAATTAAAAAAGCGTGTCGTGATTTTCGTTTTTTTTTCTTCCCCTTTTACATGTTAACTCCGAAACATAAACACTTTCTTTTTAAAACTGCCTATATTCATAGAGATCAATTTTATTTCTAGCTTTCTATCTAAGACAGAAGACTAATAAAATACTTTTCTGTTTATCATTTGATAATTTGAGTCAAAAATTTTGAGTAATTAATAACACTTGTTTAACTTACTGTAATTTCAGATGAGGGATTTTATATATAATATACAGGTAAATTATTACTGTTTCTAATAATCTGATAGAAAAAAAATTTTTGTTCATAAATTTTTATTTTTGAAAAGTACATTAGTGTTTTCATTATGATGCATTTGGCGGGAGAAGTTTCGTTTTTCTCTATCACTGCGTTTTTGAAGTGATTATCCTTATTCTCACTATAGCGTTGCTACTCTGCAGTTTTCTAAGAAAAATATTAATCTTTGTTTAGATGTTGTCGTAATTATCCACCAACATGGTTACTCGTGGATTATATGTAATCTAATGATAGCCATAATTACCGGTAATCATGATTACTATAATCATCTATAATCAAATTCCTTTTCTCAACTTTTAAAGTAAATTAATTATACATTAGTTAAAATTTAACAAATTATCGAAATTCTACCAAAATTACTAATTTTTCAGCATTATTTACGTATGTTATTACTGTAAAATGTTGGTTTTTGTTAGTAAGGTTGAAAGGTTTGTTAATAGTTAGATACAAACTATTTAAATAAGTTTATTGATGCTAATTAATCATAATCATGATAAGTTCAGAAGGTTATTTATGGGAAACCTGTGAAATGTGTAAAAAAATTAAGTTGAATATTATTTTAATAACGAACATCGATCATTTACTTGAACCATTTCCCTGCCACTGTATTAATATAATTGTCAATTTAGTTAATTACAAGTAAATAGTCGCGATAATTGAAAAATGTCGGCCATTTTACGGACATAATCAGCAGTAATTTATTATAGTTGGTGTTGCGTTCACTTTATTATTAACGTAACCAATTTAACTAAGTATTTCGTTTTACCCGTAATTGTTTTTAAAATTTAGTTTGGTCACTTAATAAAGAATAAATAAATGTTTCTATGTTAATTACTAATCATTAAATTTATTGGTTTTTATTTCCGAATTTCAAATATATAAATAAACTTTTGGAAGAAACAATCAGTATGATTGCATACCACAATAAATGATTATTTTCGAATTCTAATTTAATACTTAAACCCATTTAGCTTTGCTTAATGCAAAACGATCAAATTCTAAACCACGTTTATTGAGTTTTAATGGGTAAATGCGGATAATAGCAGACCAGAAATTGAGGCGCTGCCCTTGAAGTTCTGCACTAAATGTCAGAAAAAAAATCAACGATGTCCTCATTGAAAAGGAACTAAGAACAGGTTGTTCCGCTAACCTCTTTTTCAATTGAGACCGATCCGCTGATGCCGGTGGTTTCCCTCTTGGTCGCCGATTTTTCTTTCTATTATTCTTTCTTCCGAAAATCGTTTTCTTTTTTACGTTTTTCTTTAAGAAATGATTGCTAAGAATGCTTTTCTCCGGTTTTCTTAGCAGGGAAAATATATTCCATTGTTTTGTTATTTTAAAGTATTCATCATTTTGAGAAGAAGAAAAAAGCCAGATTGCCTTCTCACTTGTTTACATTCAACTGGTAGTATTTTGTAAATTTTCGATTAACGTTTAAGCAGAATCTAAAAAATACTTTCGTTTTTCAAAAGTTTCTAAGGTTGAAATTGTTAATGTACCCTAATGTTAAGAGAGAATGAAATTGATTGTGCAATTAAAAGCTATGCATTGTTAGTGTTTTAACTCGTGTCATTTTAATATTTATAGAAATCAAAGCATTTTTATTTGTCCTTAGACAAATTTCAGATAAATCGATTTCTAGCTTTTTTTATTAAATCAATATAACTACAAACGTTAATTTACTTCATATTCGCTACCCCCCCCCCCCCCCCCCCCCCNCCCCCCCCCTCCCTCACGCGTTTGAAAACATCGCTAGATCGTTGAAAGAAACCGAATGTAAACGTTGAAAGAAACCGAATGTAAACATTCGTAGGAGAATTGAAATGAGACATCATAATATTTACCAACATAAAATATTGAAGTTTTCAAGTTCTAAATTGCGGAAAATTAGTTTTTCGTTTCCATTAGAAAATTATGACTAACCTTCAAATATCATAATTTTATAAGATCTCGTTTGTCCGCACCTTCAAATATCATAATTTTATAAGATCTCGTTTGTCCGCAACAATGTCTTAATTCAAACAAAATTACCCTGCAAACAGAATTTTTTCTTTCCTATTGTAATAAAACCATTCAATTTTTACTGGGAATTAAGAAAAAATAAATTATGATCTGATAACTCGTTTTGCTGTTTATCTTTAATAAAGAATTCCAATTCATTATTCTAAATGAGGAAATTTATAAACTGATGGCTTATAAACTTTATATTAACAAGTTATTACTAATTTAAAGCTTAATAAAAAGTCAGTTATAAAAATGGGTGTTAATAATAAAATTAGAATTATGTTAGTTCAATCTAATGAGTCATTCTGTTCCATGTTGGCATGTTCAGATCAGAAGTTATGAGTAAAAACGATCGCCAACTTTTAAAATATTGATTTGTTAACGTTCTATTGTTAATAATGATTTACGATTTGATGTAAGGATTCACGATTTTTCATTTTTAAGTTACAGCAACTTTTTTTTACACACTTAATAATAGAATCTTGATTTATTTTTTTAATAATAGAATCTTAGATTTTTTTTTTGTCTTGTACTTACTATTACATGAATTGATTAAACTTTTTTTTTTAAGTTAAATGAAATTATTAAGAAAAGATTTAATTTTTTTGGCTGTTTTGTTTTTACTGTTTATTTAGGAAGGAAATACATTTTTTTCCCATATAGTGCATTATTAAAGAATTTTTATTTTTATTATTTTGAAACATTAATACATTTGTAAACTTACTGTACAATATTAAAGATAATTGACACTGTAATTTTTTATTATAAGTTTAATAATAATTTTTTAGTTTAATCTTTAATGAGTAGGTTTAAAGTAAGACTGGGGAACTGACCTTGGCCTTCAATTTTTATAACAACCTTTACCCATCCTTGTTGACTGAGACTGTAAATTGATTGTTGATTAACTGCTAATTAATGTCAATTGCTTTTTTTTTCCATTTAAAAACTTTTTTTTTTAATGCATTTTATAGCTTTATTTTGATTAACTAAATATATGAATTATATTATATGTTTAAATAGAAAAAAATGTAAAAAGAAAACTTTGTTTTAAAAGAATTGATTTATAACTCTAAAAATTAATTCACAAAACAACAGATTAACAAGATGTTAATTTAATTAGATAATAAGATAATGTCAAATATCTAAATAAATCTTTCCATCTAAAAGAAGTTTTATCTATAGGTAGCTAATGTATAGCAAAAGCTAATATCTGAAGATTTCCATCTTGAGTATTAAGATAATTAAAACTCTCTCTGGTCGAAGCTTGTGTTAATAGAACTCCGAGAGCTGCTGTACAGCTGAATGAGTTTAAATATTTTATTTGAAATATATTTTTAAATTGTGCAAGTTGGGTGTTTGTTCAGAGTGACATATGGAACTTTATTCAACTTAATGTTGATTTAGAATTTATTTTTGATTGAAACCAATTACAATTAAAGAGCACAGTTTTAAAAATAAATTAGTATACTTTTTTTCTGATAATTTTACCTCACAAAAGAGAGTTTTTTTTAATTATAAAAACTTATATTTTATATAGAGTAACCGTTCTATATCTGAATGCACTTTTAAAAAAGTTATCAAGGTTTATTAATTTATAGTAGATTTAATAAATGAATGGTATTTTTTTATTGTGAGGGATGATGTAAGTTGCAACAGTGTCCTTATCATTAGAACTAAATTTTAATGATAAACCTTAATTGTTGCTAAATTAATTCAAATAGCAGAAAACTTGAAGAATTAGTAATTTTTCGATTTCTGTAACTTGAACAGTTGTATCTCTTTTAGCAGCTATTGATTATCTGATATTGACAATTAAAAATCATAAATTGAATGATTTAGTTATTTTTTGTAATTTATTTTATAGGGTTTTTCATCTCAACATGTCACAGAACTGCGCCAGCAGATGTCTGTGTTGGAAAGACAGCTTAATGGACAACTTAATTCGTATGCATCATCTCTCTTGAATCTTCCTTTATCAAGCCAATCCTCTTTGTCAGCTCTAAATGCAAATCTTCCTCTACCAGCTGTTAAGACGAGCACAAAACAGCATCCACCTTTGACAGCGAGCAACAGCGTGGCAAACTGCAATGCAGCTTCTCACTTAAAAGCACTCGTCTCCAGAGAACATCGCAAATTAGATAGGAGTGTGAGCGAGCCAGTTTCCCAACAGACAACAAGACCTGTCCAATCCAATTCAAGCAGATACAAAACAGAACTTTGTCGCCCTTTTGAAGAAAATGGTACTTGCAAATATGGAGACAAATGCCAGTTTGCTCATGGCCAAGGGGAATTAAGAAATCTTACCAGACACCCCAAGTACAAAACTGAATTATGTCGTACGTTTCATAGTACCGGCTTCTGTCCCTACGGCCCAAGGTGCCACTTTATCCACAACAGTGAAGATTCCAAAAAGTGCCTTTTGAATAATTTACAGAGCAGCAACAGCATACCAGTTAATGGACACTCCCCATCTAAACAAGCTAAAGATTATGATATCTGCGCTTTCAGTATCGGTTCTGCTGGAGAGTTGTCCCCAACCAATAGTACCAGCAGTTGTTCTAGTGGATCTCCGCCATCTTCTCTCAATGGTTTCTACCTTGATGATAATCATGCGTACTCAGTACCACAAGTTCCTCAAACAGCTCCCCCAACCTTGAGCAGTGGTGTGTTCTTCCCCCCTGATTACCTGCCCTTAAAACCCTTACCACCTTTGGTGCGAAAGGAAGAGTATTCACCTTCCCAAGAGGAATGCTTGAGTGACGACGTAATATCGTCTATTGACCTGCTAGTGTCTGAACTGGAAATGAACCCTCTTGCTGATGTAAACAGCAATGCTGATTCGTTTTCCAAGCCCTCTCACTCTGTTGCTGTCGATATCAATCGTAATATTATCAGGCTTCCCATTTTCCATTCATTGGCAATCGGAAACTCTCCTTAATCGATGGATCTTTTTGGGTTCAGACTTGTTGTTCCTTTTTATTTTGTTAAGACTGAAGCCGAATTGGCTTGATTTCTTTAGACGCCAGTGTGTAAGGCATAGTCTTGAACTCTACTACCAAATTTACATGCTGGATATGGAGTTTGGACTATTTACAGCTTGGAATTTTTAATGAAACATTTTTAAGCTTTATCAAAATGTATAAATTATTAACCCTTATATATATTTATCCTTTTTTTTTGTATTTAATATTTCTACTTTTTTGTTACGTGTGTGTATATTCCCTTCATGTAATCTTATTTTTAAAAAAGTTAATTTAAAACAAAAAGTTTATATATAAGCTTTGTAGGTTTCTTTGGAGCACTTGTGGGTATGATGTAATGCAAGGGCATTAACTGTTGTATTTATTTTCTCCTGCCCAGGATGGTTGGATTGTAATTTATAATTGCCATTTTTCATCTTGAATCAACAAAAAAATTCATCAATAATCTCAAATTGCTTTCTGTGTACTCTGTAAATTATAATGTGATGTAAAATTTAGGCATATTTTTGTAGTGTTTGTATATTTTTACCATGCAAGTCAGCATTTAATGAAAGTGATTGAAATTTTTAAGATCTTTTTACTTTTTATGTGCTAATTGCTTCATTTACTTAATCTGTTGGTGTCTAATTTGCGTACTCTTTGAAGTAATTTTTTCTACGTGATTAAGCACATATTGTTGTGATAAAATGTGACATATTAAAAACCATTTAATGTGCCTTAACCACCTTTCGTAATCTTTCTATGCTTAACATTTTTGTAAAGCTTGGGGACCAGTTTTTTAATTCTATTTGGATTTTAGGCTTATTTGATGAAATTAGATTAGCATTTTTATTTTTCTCTTATCTTGTATTTATTTAAGCATATGTAAAGTACATCACATGTCACAGCTTTTGTTTATTCTTATTACAAGTTCTCTTTCACTCCCTGTCCTTCTAAAAATATGAGTATTAAGATTTAATTTAAATGGTGCTTTTAGAGTTTATTGTCTGTGTTAAGTATTGCTGTTTTTTTTTAATTTAAAGTTTGATCTGTTAATTTTGTGTTAAGGTATGTTCCCGTGATCTATTAAAATTAATTACTCTTGTTTTATTTAATCCATCTACATCTATTTTTTTTTTCATTGAATTATTAAACTACATATTTTACTAATTTTAGATACATAATAGAAGTTCGTTAGAAAATATGAGTTTAAACTTAAAATAACCATTAGTATCTTAAATTAACTAAAAAAAATTATTTGGTGTTAATTAATATGTATCTATATTTTTTTCTTGCAATGACTCTTAACTTGAGTTTTAAATAACTACTTTAACCAACGAAATATAAAATTTATTCTGAGCCTTAGGGTCAATTTTTTTTAAAAAATGTCTTTTTCTGACTTAAATTTTTTTTTCTTCTCAAATATTAATCTACTTCAGTTGTTTTTTTTTAATGTTGGATACTTGAAAGATATCTAATATTATTTAATTCCTATTATTTTCATATTCGCCAAAATAAAGGGGAAACAATAATAAATCAAATTGTAACCAGTGGTGTAATTCGGAAAAATACAGATGCATGTGTTATGTTTAAAAATTCGCCTCAAATATATATATTAGAAATTCTTTAATAAAAACCATTAATTTTTTATACTGAAATAACTGAAAAAATTTTCTAATTACATTTTTTTTTTCTTAAAAAATATTTATAATTTTAAGTGTTTATTGACACTATATTACTGTCCCAACCACTTTTTTCATAATCAGCTCTGAAATTTTTTTTAGCTTTACTAGTATTTTAGGAGCCAATCAATTAATCATTTAATCTTCATCATAATTGATTACTATAAAAAATGTTTGTAAATACATTTTGGGAACATCCTTGATGTGCTAAGTTTTAGTCATTCTTTATACTTATGTTTTTTGAGTGTATCATATTTATATAATTTATTTATTTAAACTAAACTGTGTGCTAGTAGGCTAAGTGGACAAGTTATCTGCTCACTTTTAATTTTTATATATATATGTAGGCAAACATTTATTAGGTCGGTGTGTAAGTGATTTGCCAAATATGCAGTATTGGTAAGTCTTTATATTAAAGTCAGCTTTGGAGAATTTGCTGTGTTTTTATAATTTAAAATAACTGTCAAATCGCACAATTTAAACCTTACTGCATCTTTGTAATTGTATATGTCTAATGCTGATATGCATATGTTGATATTGTACAGTTAATAATGATCAAAATTAACAGTGAATTTCTCTTTGAATGGTAATTGTATAGTTTAAAGTTGTATAAATGCATAAGTTTTGTTACATTTGGTGCTTTTTGTATGAATAATGTCAATCAAAATTTATTTCTCAATTTTGTTAAATCTATCTGTTTGTTAACAAAAAAAGTTAGTCGTTGGTACAGTCTTCCTATGCCTATGTATAGGTGCTTCCTGAGGATATAGTGAAATCTTAGGTGCAATAAGAAAAATCAGAATTTTATTCTATGCATCAGAAAATTTAAAAAGAAACAATTGAGATTTGTAAATTTTTATTATATTGATGCCATTATGAATAGTATTTTATTGCTGTAAAAAAATTTTAAAAGAAAAATTATATATATTTAAGAAATTTTATTATTTATTTAGAAATATATTGAAGGAAATATTTTTTTTTGTTTTAAAGGTGTTTTGATTTATGTGAGGAATGATTTTTTTTTTTTTTGTGAATCCGAATTTTTTTTTAATTTTATTTAATAACTCCCATGACAAAGGAAGACTGAATGTCTTATTTTTGGAACTGAATGTCTTATTTTTGAAACTGAATGTTTTATCTTATCATTATTTTTATTATCAGGTTAAGAAACAGAAAGCTTGGTTATTAAAATGTTTGTGCCTTAAATGTTATTTTTTATTTATTTTTTTCATCTGAATTGTTGACTGTACATTAGTTAACCATAATTACAAATGGAAGTTATAAGTACATTCCCTATTACAAATAAAGCATTTTTAATCCGGTTGAAAGTTGTTTGTATTTTTTTTCACTATTGTTGCATGCATGTACGAAAATTGTAAGTTCGTTTCACAATATTTTGGGTAAGGAAAATTATCAAGAATTTAATCGAAATAATGTAAATTAAATTGTGATGATAAAAGTAATCTAAATTGTGATGATAAAAGTAAGTATTATAAACGTTGATTGTAAAATATTCTTTTAGCATTTCATTTTGCTATTTATAAGAACATTAAAAAACGTGCATCAGTATATTCTATTTAATCATCCAGAAACATCAAATGTTTCGAAAATTAGTTGATTAAATCGGAACTTAAAAAAAAAAAGTTCTAAAATGAGAAATAAGAACTATATTACAAGTAAGTCAATTCTATCATGTTCTAAGAAAATTTTTAAAAGCGAAAATGGATGTCTGAAAATCTAATGAATAAAACTTCTCATAGGCTTTTTTTTGTTCTTTATGGAGGAATTTAAATTACTTTTAGGAAGGACAAAACATGAATAAATTCTGAAAGAACAGGCTCTACTACAAACGAAACTAAATTAATTCTAAACAGTAGAAAACAGGTTTCTGTTTTGAAAGAGTCTGTCCATTTTTAACCGGAGGGAATGACTGAAAGTGGCAGGATGTGCTTGCTATTCTGTAACACTGATCTACTGAGCAGCCGCGTTGCGGTCATCCGACCTTCAAAATGGAGTGAAGATTGGTTTATCCAATTTACATATCATCTACCAATTTTTTTTCTTCATTTGATTCATTGTTTCTTTATTATTTTATTTGGAGTAGAGAAAACGAAAATAGCACAGTTGGCGAAGTGGCGCCATTTTCTTATTTTTGTCTCAACTTTTCAAGTCGGTTGTCCTCGATAATGAACTTGGAATTAGTTGTAAGTTGCAAAATATTAACCGTGTAATTATTCGCATGAGGAACTAATGTCGTAACTTTTAAAAGAAACGAAATCTTATTTAAATAGAATGAATTTGTATAAGTTTTTATTCTTTTCGTTTGAAATTTATTCGAGAAATGCAAACAAAAAGCGAAATTATAAAGTCGATTGGGTTAGTTACAAATTTGTAATTTTAAAGAAAAAAATTTCCTGTAATTAGGAATTATTTTAAAAGAATTTTCAGAATATAGTAAATTTTTGGAAACACTATTATATACCGAAAAGCTAGTTTATAGAAACCGTGTGATTAGTAAAAAAAGAATAGTTACCAATAATTAATAAAATTTGAAATTTAAAACATTCGATTTTTTAAAGTATAATGAAATTGGGAGAAAAATTCTTATTCGTAGGAATTGGAAAGAAAAGGAATAGGAAATTGCGTTAACTTAAGTAAGTCTAAACAACCTCTAATTACAAAATTTGAATGCAAGTTAGTTATACTTGAATAAAATATAAATTAAACGTATTTAGTTCGTACTTAACTTGTATGACCCTATTTTGCATTTTAATGAGACAATTATAACGTTTTGACAATATATTAAATTAATATAACTACATAAGTTTCGAAAAAAAATAAAATTTTTCTCAACCTTTATAATCGGTACCTAAAAGACGAATGCCACTGTGTTGTTGATATTTGAAGATTCTTTTTAAATTGTTGTAATTTAAATAAAAGCCATAAAGAGATTATTTATGTTTGTGTTTTTAAATTAATCGCGATGAATAAGGCTTTTCTAAATCAAACAAACATTACGAAACAAGTGGAGAAAAAAAACGGTAATTGATGTACTCTGAGCGAGTAATATATTTTTAAATTAATGGATCAAATTCCAATTTCTTTAAGTAACTTATAAAGTTTTTTGTATTAATGATTTAAAAACATCAAAATAAAAGTTTATTTTGAAGAGAAAAAAAAATTTGAATTGCAGTCTTTTCAAAATACTTTTTTTTTTTCATCGGTCATTTTCCCCCTTATAGCTGATTATACAGAATAATTGATAAAGACCAAATATTAAAAGGTATACAAATTTATTACCGAATGTTCGAACGAAAAACCATTTTTCTTTATCTTTAGGAACTGGAATACAATTTTAGATCAATGTTGAATAACTGACAATCCATTTTCAGATTTTACCATAAAATAAAAGAATTTTTATTTCTCCAATTTACCCTTTTGAATTTCGTTTCCATCTCAATCAGAGCAGAAGTCATGGTAATTTAAATAACTAGATTAAAAAATATTCGAAGAAAAAGCATCGGAAGAAAAGAGAACAATTCTTAATCTAATTGTGGTCGAATAATTATTTAATTATGTTAAAATCAGTTTCAACGGTCCGAATCCAATCAAACGTTACTTAAATAGCAGTTAATGAGATGGATGTTTTTTTCCCGGTGATTTTTTTTTTCCATGATTCTTCAAAAAAAAAACATTTACTACAGACTTGACTATTTAATTTTATATCTGAAAACGTATTTTTGAGCTATTCTCTCTATTTTTAAATTAGTTTTAAATTTTATTAATCTCATTTACCATTAATGTTTCTCTTTTATATATATCTATATATATATGCCCAGCGAAGGATTTCAAATTATTAGATTGCAAATTAGCTAAATATCGAAAGTATTTGTAGATTTTCGCAATTCTTTGCCAAATGCAAATCTTAAAAATTTTTTATGATTAATTTTTTTTCATTTTACGGTAGTTTGTTTCAGGCTTATATTATTTGGACCGAATTCTAATTGGTTGTGTGGCGCATCTACCGAAAATTACTGTAATCGAATAAAAAATACAGGTGGAAAAAATCATTCGCCAAAACACAATTTTATTCGCCAAATTTACGATTTTATCGCATTTGGCGAGGTAATTAGCTCTCGCCCTTTATAAATATATATGTCTATGAAATAGACCAGTGGTTCTTAACCTTTTTAAACCGCGACCCAAATTTGAGAAATATGTTCATGTCGCGACCCAAAAAAAAGTCAAAATTAGGCTGAGTAAGCCACAATGACTTCTTCTAGGAGGTGTTGGTATTACTTATTATTTGGTGTATTACTAACTTTTTTGGTTCGACTCAGCGCGACCCAAGAAATATGCTTCGCGACCCAATTTTGGGTCGCGACCCATAGGTTAAGAACCGCTGAAATAGACAACACAATAATTGATCAAAATTGTATTTTTTATTTTAAAAAATTATATTTTTTAATGTTTTTGTCAAATGCGTAGCAATATTTAGCTGGCAGTTATTTAAAAATTAATATTGCCCATAAATTAGCCTATTTATTGGATTCAATATTTACAAACACTATAAAACAAAAAATGAAATATCTAATTAAAAAATTTTTTAAATATAATAATATTTCTTACAAAATTGAGCGTTTTAAATTTAAAAAAAAATAAATAATGATTTTGATTTTTTCCTCCTCCGCACATTTTTTTTTATTGTTTTTAGTTTCAATGTATATATATCATGTTAAAGTATACTATCCATACGTAATGGGCATTTCTTAATAGGTCAGAGCAATAACGTATTCAGCTATTTATGAATTTTACTGATAATTTTCATATACACTAAGTATTCACTACTAATGCAATTTACATTTCTATTTCAATAAATTCAATGCATACTAACTTTTTTCATTAAATTTTAAGACATTAAATTATTTCAAACAATAAATTTCTGGGAAAAACTATCGCCGTTGCGTTCGTTACATTTTATGGATAATCTTTTAATCCACGCGTAGGAAAATCGCATTTTGTAACAAAAATATTTCATAGAAACATAAGAAAAGTACTTATATACACTAAAATTTTGGTCTTCAATTTTCTAAGGCATTTACAGAAAGTTTTTGCAAAAATTCATGTTAATTCCTTTCACCAGATAGAATCATAAATTTACTGTGATTTTTCATACAAACTTAATTATTATCAAGGCTTTAAGTTTAAATCAATGCACTGTGGGCCAAAAGACCATGATCTTTGCCAAAAGTCAAAAATTAAATTTTCAACTAAAATATGTATAGGCAGTTTCAATATAGCCTAAATTAAGTATTCATAATCATTCCAAACATTATAATTTACTTTTTGGACCGACGAGAGTACAATGTAATGAAAAATATGTTAAAAATATATTTTTTAAATGTAACTTTCAAATTTTTATTTCAGAAATATATATAGGAATTTCACCTTACTGTTACATTTTCATCAGAGTAATTAGTCTGAAATTATAGTACTATTTTTCAATTTGTTGGATTAGTTAATACTCTTGACAAACTTATAGTTTATGTCTTATCATTTGACATTTTACAATGTTTGAATGACTTTCGAAACTTAGTTTCAAAAAGTTCCACGAGATCATTAGCTAAATTTTTTTTTGTTGTCTTCTTTGATATTTCTTCTTTCGAAAAAACCTGTCCCATTTTGCCCGTAATGCAAAGGTGAACTAATTATACCGAAAAACCAAAATTTTGTTTGTTTTTTTCGTGTTTTCGCGTTATTTTGTAATTAATTCGCGTTATTTTGTAATATTACTTCGGAAATATAATTTGCTTTTCATTTTTAATATAAAATTACGAAAATTATTGCATTTTCATTGCTATATTTAATTATTTAAACGTGCTATATTATTTTTGTTATTTTTGCTCGCCATATTTCAGCCGCCATTTTTTTTTTTGGTATTTTTATTGTATTTCAACTATGAATTCAATTTACCTGCACATAAAAAAAAAACCCAAATTTTGAAACAAATTTTCTCGAAATACTAATTTTGGCCATGAAACCTTGGATGCTGGCCCACTGTGCAATGTTATAGACTGCCAATACAAAATTAAAATAAAATAAATGAAACCAAACACTTCAAAAATTAATAGTCGATTCTTAATTATTTTTTTTGTAATGAAGTTTCATAAATACCACTTTATTTAGCATTTATTGTTTACGTTTACAGAAACGATTTGCATATGTGATGAGGAACTATTACGAAAAATATACAGCTCTACAATTGAAATAATAAACATTTCCTTTCGCCTAAATCTAATTGTAGGTATAATATTTTTTCCACCCATCC